CATTCTATGCCTTAACCTCCTCATTTGAAAATAAAACCCCTAATGACAGATATCTTCATGCCCCCCCCCAAACATGGATTGCAATCAAGGCTGTGATGGCACTTTATGAACTGAAGAGCCATGTGGAAGTGTGTGACACCGTATAGATTTCCAAGGTATATACGTGTGTCCTTCTATGTCCTTGGGGGCATGGGTGGGTCCAAGATTCCTGCTACACCCAAATCTGTGGATGTTCAAGTTGCTTATATAAAATGGCATGATATTTAACACAGCCTTTGCACATCCTCCTGTATAAACTAAACCACCTCTGTACTGCTTATCATTGATACAATATAAATGCTGTGGTAATCGATACACTGCATTGTGTAGGGGACAATAACTAGGAAGAAAATGTCCATACATTGTTATTCAGTAAGATGTGATTTTTTTCAAATATGTTTAATTCATAGTTGGGTTTGTATTTGGAAGTGGACCCCAGATAAGGAGGACTGACTCTATTTCTGTGATTGTTCTGGGGTTTCCTTGAGGGTTGAAGAGAAATCAGTGTTTTCTTTTCTATCTCTAGATAGATGCCAATAATATTCAGAGTCAGATGAGAAACACACAATTAATACTACACAGATCTGGATTTTACAATCAGAAAGAATTATATTCAAAATGATTTCATAATCAAGTCCAGTAAGGATAAGATTTAATGTAATAGTGAGATACCAAATGAAGTAAAAATCATTTACATTGCCAAGTCATAAGCACAGTGACTATAGAAATCAATTGCTTCTCCTCATTCTTAAAGTGTCATTTGAACAGTAACTTAAAAGTTCTGCACTGGCATGGTGGTGCATGCCTTTAATCTCAGCATTTGAGGAGGCAGAGACTGGTGGATCTTTGTGGGAGCAAGGCCAGCTTGGTCTACACAGAGAGTTCCAGGTCAGCTGGGGTTACAAGGAGATGTTGGTTTTTTAAAAACATTTTACCTCCTAAAATGGTTTTCTGATCAAAATCTTATAGGTTTTATAAATCAGTCCTTTTCTTTTGTAAGTAACCTCATGCCATTTCAATATAAATTCTAACATAAGTTTGAGCCTTGCTCCTGGACAAGAAACTTATAGATGAGATGTCTAACTGTCCCTCTGAGTTGGAACTCTGTGGGGACCAAAATATATTCTTCTTGGTTTTTCAATAAAGTAGAAATGAGAAGAAGAGATTATTAAAGCCATCCTGTTTATCAGATATGTTTTGGAAAGCAATGTAAAAACACGACCCCTTGTTCTTAACATAATACAAGTTTTCTGCATAATAAGAGTGGCTGAATTCTCAATAGCTTCACATTTTTAGAAATGCTTCTGTGGCATAGCTTTAAAAAGAATACTTTAGTAAAAAGAGAGAAGTATCAAAATTATAATTGAGAAAATAATTCTATCCATCTTTCTATGGTCTATGTTTAAAATGTATGGACAAAGACAACATCTAGAAAAGCAGAAAAGAAACAAAATTTAAAATACTATTGCCTTCTAACATCCTGCTCTCTCAACCTTGGTCTCATTACATAAGATCCAAGATAAATTGAACATAGACTTGCATCTTTAAAATGTCTTATGGCCCATAAATGAGAATTAATATTTAACGGACAGACAAGAGAGAATCAGGTAGGATACTAGACTGAAAGAGGCTCATTCTTAGGAAGGAAGGATAGGAGAAAGACATGATGCTTGCCATTCCTTGATCATGAAGCTCTGTTTACAGAGATGAATGCAATCTAAAAAGCTTGGAGTAAAGATTCATTTCTGAAAATGAAGAGAACCATAGCAAAGAAGAAATGGAGGAAACATTTCTGAGACAACAAGGAAGGTCCTGGACACTACAGCATGTAGCCAAGGACCTGTGATCATGAGAAATGTTTCATGTGAATAGTTTTGTTTGCAGATTATGAGCAGGAGGAAGTGCACTACATGCTACACTGCAGGTGAATGAAACAAGAATGAGTGGTTTCTGTCTCCTCGGTCCTCCTAGAAATGCTTGCCTTAAAATACAATGCCAGTTTATACCAGTGTTCTCCATCATCAGAGCATAGTGTTCTAAACGACACGGCTGAGACTGAAGGTGATTTGATTTTACTAGGGATGGTTTTCAATACATATTTTAAGAAACAGTTCTCTATACACCATCAATGATAACAGTCATTTTATTAAGGTAGTTTGAGAGAAATTGATGCATATTAATTTATCCTTGGTGTTATCTTAATAAGTATGAGAAAACCAAGCTTTACATTTTCTTCTTCCTGCAGCTCTCTGTGCTTGTACATCTTAGAGATTCAACAATTGGCCCATTATTTTTAGAAAGAAGTTAGTTTAAAAATCACACCATAGTTTGGATTGAAAGCATCACTATAGCAACCCAGAGATGACCATGTACCACCTCTGTCTCTATGAGCTTACGTATAAAAGTTTGGAAATTAATTGCCCAAGATAACATAAGGCATTTAATACATGGTGAGGTGATTTCACAAAAAAAAAAAAAAAAAAAAAAAATCCTGGATGTTCCTGAAACAATCACTTAAAAGAAATATCTGTAAACCTGTTTTTAATTTATATTATTTTCTCAAAGAAGCTGGCAAGGACACATTGACCTGAAAAATATATCTTTCTGATTTTAAATACTTTAATAGACCACCAAACAAAATAACAAATGCTGCTGGTTATCCACAGCTTGAGCGAGCACACTATGTACAGTGACTTTTTGTCTTAAGTGTATTGCAAGCCTCCATGGAAGTCAATGAGGAAGCACAAAGCTAGTCAGGCATGGTGGCTCATATCTGTAATCCTAGAATATGGAGGCTGAAGGAAGAGGATCACTTTGATTTCAAGGTTAGCCTGCACCATAACTATATGGTTCAAGGCCAGTGAGTTCAAAACAAAGCAACAACAAAAAACTAAAACCAAGAGACAAATCTAGACCCTTCAACAGTTTTGAATTAATGTGAAAACAACTGTCTTCTTTTGGCATTTGCTTATTCATTCAGTCACTGGCTTAGTATACATTTATTGGGTACTGTAGGTGGAATCCCAGGTGCTGCAGACTTTGATGAACAGAAAACTCTTGGTCTGCCCCATTATCTTTTTCCTTTCTCTTAACTGGGATGTTGCACCATGCCTTCATCCCCTCATTCCTCATCCTATGGAAGTCCTCTTTGCAACCTTCACATCCAAGTCTTACTCTCAGCAAGCTACAATGTACTGAGCTGTGGATAAACACTCCGCCTTCAAGAGTGCCTGAAGATCTTGTTGCCACCAACAGTGGTACTAACTCCTGGGACCACTGACTTTATATACTTGATAGTCTTTTAAAAATCCTCACTGTAACCATGAAAGGTAAAAAGACTTTTATTTCATTCTCAATCGGAATTTCTTTCTAATAGCCTGTGGAATGCTACAAAACTTCTGAATTTCCTGATTCAAGTAAGGCACCGCCACACTCTTTTCTGTTGTGTATGATTTCCGCTGGCCACTGACTTTGTATCCAAGCAACTGCTCAAAGTCCACCTTAGCAAAGAGGATATGCCATCTTCAAAAGGAAACTGTGATTTAATGTTTGGTTCATGAGGCGCTCGACAAAGGTTGAGTTACCCTGTACTTCATTGAGTATTTATAATATCTTGATGTACCCCTGTGAATTTATTTGGTGCATCAAGAGAAATTTTGGAAAAATGGCCCTAAATAAAAACAATTCATTTTCAATTTTGTCTTCCTGTACTTCTCATTTGACACTTAACATACTGTGTTTTGTATGCAGACTAACTTACATAGGGGGCATATTCTATAAGAGTCTCAGATCCATGGAATCTAAGACCAAATGTTGCATGGAAGTTAATATAACACTTGGGGGGTATATAGAAAAACATCCATAGTAGTTTGCTGAATTTGTATATAAAAATTATATTATGCATTTTGTGGTTTCTGCTCTTCTGTTTGAAATAATTTCCACAGGTCCCTATTAAAAGTTGAATATGAATAGATACAAATATACATACATGCAATTTGAACCAAAGACCTAGTATATGCTACGTATGTGTTCTACCTCTGAATTATACCCCATCCTTTATAGATGGTTTGACAAGAGTGTACAGTGAGTAAACATTGCAGATGAATTGATGGGTGTAGAAAATAACCTTCAAATAAGAAAGGGATGACTTTTAAGGGAATAGTGCCTTTCTTACTACTTGTAGTTTGGTCACTCTTTTGAGGAAGTGATTTGCTATCTCTAAGTTTAAATACATATAATTCTGAATTACAGAAATGATGATGAGGAAATTTATAATATAGGGTAGTATTCTGTTATGTTATTAATAATCTATAATAACTGTACCATTAAAGATATTATCAATGATAGTGCCCAAAGAACCATTAGTGGAAATCATGCTTTGAAAAGAAGTGCTTAAAAGTAAGTTTAAATATTATATTCTTCTTGAAGCATCAGCATATTATTTTTTTAGGCAGCTGAGAAACTGTGAAATGGTTCCTATATATGATCATAAATGCCCATTTTCCTTCTTTCATGTTTCCATTTCTCTTTCTTCTGTATTTTTCAAAGTCTGGAGAGATTTTACAGTTCTTTCTATTCTAAAAAGAAATATGCTTCAAATCGATCTTTTAGATTTAGGTCCAATGTCATGTAAGATAATAAGAAACTCTATGTGATATTTTCTTTTTCAGTGGGTTAAAATGCCGAGAATTTTGAGCAAAATATACATACCCTGGGTATTTTGCCTGTAAAACCTGAAGTGATAAAAATTAAACAGGGAAACAGGATTAAGAAGACAACCCTTGGGGAAAATCAGGCTAGCTGCCACGTTGCTTTGCTCCCTTGGGTGTCATTTCTCCTGACTGGAATTTCAGCCTTAGTACGAGTGAAAGGACCAGCTGCTGTAAATTAATTCACTTTCAGACTAACCCGACTACAAAGCACAAAGCCAGTCCTGATGGCCACTGAAGGCCCTCAGTTACCTGCTGTTTCTCTGTCTGCCGAGGTCAGTTCTCCATTGATCCCGTTCTCTTTGGTATCTGAATAGGTGCCCTGTGACCCATGCTCCCCAAAGGCACCCTCCTCCTCCTCTCTGAATGGGAATCCATTGGCGCTGCGGACCAGTCCTTCCCCTGCGCCACCTTGGTCCTTCATCTCGGGTGGGTGCGGGTGTGCAGCTGCCTCTGTGAGGGGAGCTGCCGTCCAGTGAGACGCCTTTGCTTCTTCTTTCCGCTCATCTGCCATGCTTCAGAGCTCTGTACTGCCTCCTGCAAGTGGAAGGCAGGCAACAGTAGTTATCACTTAGGGGAAACCTTATGATCTGAAGGTATTGGTCCCCAATAGGAAAAATTTGAGGTCAATTCAGTGTCTTGCTGCATTGGAGAGGCATGTTCAATAATCATTCTTTATAAATATTAACAACCAGCCATTGTGGACACAATTTTTATATTTACATTGTTTTTGCAGAGCATTTCTGAAATATTTATTCTTCCAACATAAGATCATATTATGTATATTCTTTAAATAGACTTAATTTAAGGACACATCTTAACCAATATCATTGATGCATGGTCTTGAATGTTGACTGGTATTCAAGAAATCCTTCTGTACCTGGGAAATCTGCAGTATCAGAAAACTGGGTAGAAAGGGGCCAAAGGAGGGATTGCAGAAAGAAAAGATTGCGTTATCAAAAATGACTCAACTGTTCTTTAAAAACAACTTTCAGTGGAGCCAAGAAAAGACCAACACTTAGTTTCGAAGGCATTCAATTCAAAGCAGGGTAGATATGCTTTTCTGAGTGCTGTGATTTAATGAAAAATTGTTTTGGCTAAAGTTTCCAACAAACTGTTTTCAACCCTATCTATAAACTAAAGACATTTGACATTTTTATATTAACACAAATCTTACAGAAAATAATAGTATTAGAGCTATATCCCACTTTATGACATCATTTCACTGCCAAGTCAAAATCTGAAAAAGTTACATCATTGACATGAGTGAGGAAACTATAAATTATAGCAAAGGACAGATTGGCTATGGAGGAGGTATTTTATTAATGAGTGAATGGCAGATACTATGCGACCATCTCCTACATCCAGGTGCTGCTAACTTTAGAGACAAATGATTCATCACTCAGTTTGGAAAGCTATTGCCAGTGATGTGCGGCCTCATTGGTGACTTGTTGTCCCCACAAAAGGGATGACAACATATGTGATGACTGTCTCTAATGGAAACCAAGAACAACTTATTTTTATATCATAAGAGTAACCAAAGCAAAAACTTCCAAACAACAAAAATTGTGTTAGGGCAAGTCCACTCCTTACTACCAGCTGTTGAGATACTGCAAATAAATTAAACTATTATGGAAGTTAGCTTTCCTACCAGATTTCCAAGAAGTACCTGTTTGTTTCTGAATCTACTTTTTATTTATTTATTTATTTATTTATTTATTATTTATTTATTCAATTTATGTGTGTCAACATGTGTGCCACATGTGGAGGTCATAGAGAACTTTAAGGAGTTCGTTCTTTCCTTCACCTTCACACGGGTTCTAGGGCTTGAACTTGGGTCCTCAGGCGTCATTAAGCACCAGACATTTACTTGCTGAGCCACCTTGCTGGCCCTGTTTCTGAATTTTAATGCTGCTTCCTTTGCTTTTTATTCATATCAAGAAGAGTGAGATGAGTCCATTCATTTAAACTAATTTAATCATAACACCAAACTCCTTCAAATTTGTTTTAAAAATTATTTTGTTTATTTTTCTTAAAACCATATTTGAGCAAAACATAAGAAGCTTATCTTTAAAAACATCAGTTGAAGGACTTATGAATAAACCAGGAGCATCTCTCTATCACCTACAAAATGCAGAGAACTTCATGTGTGCCAAAGAGCATTTTTATCTGTATGTATAATGAGGACAACAGTGCCTGGTCTGGCTGCTTACAAAGTTAAAGCAGAATAATACAAGAGAAATACAAATTGTTATATTTGCTATAAGATCTTAATTGTGTTACCAGACATTATACCACCAATCATCATATATAAAACATTTTACATACTTTTTCTGGAATTTCTGACCATAGGAACGTGAGCTTGAAGATGTGGTCAAGCGCAAGAGAGTCTCCAAGAGTTATGCAGTTTGGGAGTCTTTTAGATAGTCCCACTGAAGGGGTACGCCAATTGCCTCACATTGCGTCCCTGTTCAGCATAGAAGAAGCCAGAGTGGTCAGCGTCCCTATTCCCTATTGCCAATTTGGGTAACCCCTTCAGAGGATGGCATGAAAGGAATAGGAGATAGGAATTGGCTAGGCAGTTAGGGTAAAAAGACCTCAAAGAAATGTAGCCAGGTTCTTGGCTAAAAGTTAAAATGTTCTTGGGCCTGTGAGCAACATACTCTGTTCTAAAGGCCAAAAATGTCAAAAGTATTTGGGAGCTTGTATCTAATCCGTAAAAGATTTTAGAGTTACCTCTTCAGAGGGGGGAATGTTGGAGGGGAGGGAGTGGGTATGGATTTGATCAAAACACCTTATATGCATGTATGAAATTCTCAATAAAGTTTTTGTAAAAGTTAAAAATAAATAAGTGAATAAATGAAATTTAAAAAAAAGAATGAGACTCTCTTGCAAATATGTCCTCAACTACTACAAAGGACAGAATAAGCATCCCACGAGGCATGGCCAATGTCCCACAAATCGGACCTGATGGGAAGAATGTGTCCTCAGAACTAACCTCTCCTGTGTACATATAAGAAATGAAATAGTTTTTATAAAGATTATCAGGCAATGTTCTACACACCATTCCATGCTGATCTTGTCCAATCAAATATCAAAATACTGTTTCAAGAGTCTACACATTGCGCTTTTTAAATTGTTATGGTATCGTCATGTAACTTAGGGATGAAGAAAATTATTCAGATTAAAGCAGCAACCTTCTAGACATGGGCTTGCTTCTCTTAGCAAGTTAGCCTCTATGTGCCTTAAATTTTTTTGTTTTCTTTTACCTAGGCACGCCAATTTCACCTAATATCACACTTATAAATAAGTCAATGTTCTTACCAACAAAATATTACCTGACTATGTGATAAGTTGCAGGTTAGTTACTCAGACATCACTTAAGTTTGAAATGCACATAGTCTAACCATTTATTAAGTCAAAGTCCCCTTAGGAAATTTCAAGCTGGAAATGACATTGCTCTGACAAACTCGGATAGGAGGTGTGACTGGGAAGAATGCTGCTCCAGGGGAAAAGCTTCTTTCATCAAAAGAGACAGTATTTGGCCAGGCTTATTCATAATCACAACTGATTGTTAAAATGCCACTGATAGAATGACACATTTCACAACTGATTATTAAAACTCCATTCATAGAATGACACATTTCACTTAAATTTCTAATGAAACCTGTGGGGTCACATTTTTTTTTTATTGCTCAAAAAGGAAATTCCCTTATAATTACAAATGAAGACAGTCTCATTGCTTCTGGATGCAACATTGTATTTCCCTGAATCTCTGCATCTGAAAACTTTGAGAATGTGGAATTGAAGAAGGTAAAGAAACTGAGACAAAGGCAAATCCTCTCCAAATCCACAGAAGGAAATTCATGAGTCCGAGGAATTGCAATATTCTGTTCCTTTTACGTGAGGGTAAAGACTCTTCTCTCCAATTTCCTGTGGATCATGTATCTTCTCTGCCCAAATAGCCATACAGCAGGGCATCTGCTCTTAATCTCTGGCTTGATAAAGATCTGAGGAGGCCGAGACTCTTCTGCCTTTCCCCACAAAGCTTCACAGGACAATCTGAGCAGGGAAATCTGAATTTGTGATACTGATTCACAATTTATAACATATTTCAGTGGTTAGAATTAAACACAAATGCTGATATGAATGAGGATATGATTGCCTGTGACATGGATTTTAAAAATCCAAGAAGTTCAAGTTTCTGTTTATATTACCATGAGGTACTTCCTTTGACTATCATATCGTGACTAGCATGAGACTTATTGCAGGGCCTCCATCTTTTCAATTGCAGTGTATAGTTACAACAAAAGGCAAAAGAGGATCATTTATCACCAGAAAAATTAGTTACAGATCAGAGCAGTGAACTTCAATCTTTGCTGTCATTCATTATTAGCTTTCTCCTAATAGTTCAAGGTTCTCCAAGGACAGACTTATTTCTTCATCAAAGGTAAACTTTGTGTCCTTAAAATTCCATCTTTTTGCCTCAATAAGCCTTATTTGGTACTGCTATTCTGATGGCCCTGACAAGAATATGCATGCATTTATGCCATCTTCTAGAACACTGAACACTCAGATCCATTTCACCAATGGATGAATATAGGAAATATAAGATTCCTCAGTGTTTATTGATCTGTTATTCATTTTGATTTTAAGAATATAAGTCAAACCATGAAACTTCACATCATTCAGATCTCTACCTCACTGAAGATTTAACCTAACATCTTTTAAACATATTTTATTTATTATTTTTATTTTATGCATATGAATGTATTGCCTGCTTGTGTGTAAGTGTACTTGTATTGTGCAATGCCTGTGGAGGTCAGAGGAGGGCATTGGATTCCCTGGAACAGGAGTTATGGATGGTTGTTGGGCAGCATGTGGGTGGTGGGAACCAAACGTGAGTCCTCTGTAAGAGCAGCTAGTGCTCTTAACTGCTGAACTGTCTCTCCAGTCCCCTAACCTAACATCTTATAATAACATAACTACTATAACCAGACTGCATCAGTCTTTCTATAGACTGATTTGATTTCTGTGATGGTTTGAATGAAAATGTCCCACATAGGCTCCAAGTATTTGCTGGATGTCCACTTGCTCTCTTGCTTCCTGTGCCTGAGTGATGATGCAAGAGTTCAGCTTCTGTTGCTCCTGCTCCAGCCATCTCCAGCCACCATGCTTCCCTGTCATGATGAACTGTAATTCCCCTGGACCTACAAGCATAAATAAACTCTTCCTTCTATACATTGCTTTGGTCAGTGTTTCTATCACAGCAATAGAAAAGTGAATAATACAGTAATTGGTACCAGAGAGTGGGCTGTGAAGAACCTGACCATGTGGGATTTTGAAGAAATGTGGAAGACTTTGGAAGTTTGGGCTAGAAAAGTGGTTGATTGCTCTAAGCAGAGTTTTATAGGCCATTCTAGTAAATGCCTGGAAGAAAGTAGTGCTGAGAGAGGGAAATAATACTTAAGCAGCATTTAGGATATTTTGGCAAAGAATCTGACTGGAGTCTGCCCTCGACGAGGGAAATAAGGACT